TCTAGTAGAACAGAAGAAATATAAATGGAGTAGAATATGAATAAGACAGAAAGCACAACTATGTAATTTTTCTAGCCAACGCTATGTTTGAAATAATATTATTCAAGAAGATAACGCTATGGTTTCAAATAGCATCAACAACGAATTCTATACCAAATTGAAATACGTGAAAAACGGGATTTAGCAGTACTAAATAGTGAGGCTTATGGAAATTCTTCATGATCGAATTGAGAAAACTTCTGAATCTTACACCATGTCGGCACAGAAAACTTCTTCTCATGAGGCATTTCAAACGAAGTCTCATTTAAAATAATGATTATCAGAAAGTAATGTTTATTTATTCTAGGTATGGTAAATATAATCATTAATCAGTATGAACGCCATTGGCGTTCTTTACCGCACCTAAACGAGACGCACACGAACATAAAAATGTCTGTCATAACTCAATATTTGTGCTATTTTTGTTAAAACACATGAAATGTGTTTTTCTTTTCAGTGTTTTTGTGATAATGATTATGTTCAGCCTTTGAGAGCATTTTTAACTCCATTTTTCATTCTTTGTTACCATGTTTCCAAATCAGTTGTCGATTACTTGCTGATAACCATCATTTTAAATGAAATCTACTTTGAACTGCTTCATGAGAAGAACTTTTCTAGGTTGCCATGACATAAAATTCAAGAACTTTCTCAATGCAACACCGAAAAGTTGTTATAACCCTCACTATTTAGTGCTAATAAATCCCGCTTTGACGCTTTAATTTGATGTACAATTTTTTGCTGATGCTATTTGAAAGTTCAGGTTACCCCCTGGAAAAATATTATTCCCAACCTAGTATATGTGATGTTATTTCATCTTTCAATAGTAATTATTAATTTTGAAATGATTAGCCGATTTCTGGTGGAAAATACATAATTCTATTAATCAATGATAGACATTCAAGTATAAAGTTCTACATTTTATTAGGAAAAGATTAGACCGTATCACAACGAAAAAAGAAATCAAGGATGCATTCAACATCAAGAAAACAACAGTAAGCCATTCCAAAATAATTTTAAGTGTATGGTATTAAAGAAATCAATCAAAAATAGTGTACAATAGATGAAAAAGAGCATAAATAAAAAAAAAGAAGTGAATCTAAATGATGATGCAAGCAAGTCAGCTATTTATATAATTCATTAGCCGTTTCCCTTTCTTCAATTAGCTAACAAATGCATTTGAATAGTTATGAAAATGTTCCAAATTACGATAGGCTTTCAACAGCTATTTACATGAAAACATGCAATATGACATTGCGTTAGAAATGAATGAGATACTAAAATAAATTAATATTAGCATAGGCTTTCTGAATCGCTATTAAATCTTCTAAACAGTCATGACGATACTTACATACTTTTAGCTTTCGAATAGCTAGATACATGAGGATATGCTATAAAAGAAAAGTTATTACAAAACCATCAATTAATCAAGTCATTAGTAGCTGTTATTACTGAGGGCTATCCAAAAGTAGTCGCGGACGTACTTTAGTTTCTTATAAAAAGCTGACAGAAACTTTTTCTCTACATGGACTGATAATAAAAACGAAGCTCTATTTTCTATTTTATTACATAATTCTTCAAATTATATCATTATAATAAAATTTTAATAATATCTACTTCTTTTGTCATAGGTAGCGGTTATACTAATGCCTATTTAGAAAAAGATGACGTGTGTATTTTTTGAATGGCTTCTAATGGAAAAGAGATAAAGAGCTGCAACTTTCATCGTTGGAAAGATGAAAGTAAGATTCATCGAATGATATATTGTACATTTTTTTAGCATGACTTTTTTTAAGGTTTTCAATCGAGCTTCTAGAAAACAAAACTAATCCATGAAGTGTTTGCAACAAATTTTCAATTGTTATGTGCATATTCAAATCGTCAAATGGAAGCTCTACAAAAGTGCATAAGTTTTAGATGTTTAGAGTAAACCATTCAGGAGCTATAGATATTGTAGTCGAAGTTTTACATGATTTTTCTAGCCACTTCTGTGAAAAAACTTTTTTTCTGGTTTCATTCTGATAAAAGCTATTTTTTTCATACTTAGAGAATCGATTAAACAAAGTTCAGACAACATACTATGAAAACGTATCACATACAATTCAATGCGTCTTTGTCTTCTCTTAGGAATGATGAAAACCACAACTCTCTATCTCTTTTCTATCAGAAGTTATTCAAAAAACATACACTCCGCTATTTTTAAATAGGCATTAGTATAACCATCACATATGACAGAAAAACAAATGTTATAAAAATTGGATTATTATGATATAACTTGAAGAATAATACAATAGCATAGAAATATAGACCATGATTTTTCCTATTAGTTGATATAGAGAAAAAGTTTCTTTAAGTTTTTTATTACGAACTAAAGTACCTCCACCGCTACTTTTAGATAGTCCTAAATATTTGAAACACAATTGAGTTATTTTCTTTCATAAGCTACGTCTGAGGGGATATCTCGACCGGTGTAAGTGTGAATATTCTCATGAATACGTCTGCACACCGACATTCACGTTGTTTATTGCTTGTTAGGCTTGAGTGTTCAAGTGTGAAATGTTCAAGTTTCCTTTCTATCCATTCTGCATATTTGAGAAACTGAGGCGATGCCACGTAAATAAAGAATTCACTAGGAACGCACCGCGAAATTGTATTTCCACAGCCTCATATGTTGTATACAATCTTTGTTTAGTTCTTGGAAAACTCATGCCGACACTGTCAAGTTCAGCATCATATAAATTAATTGATAAACGTTCATTGTTCCGCATAATGAATTTAGTATCATATAGAAATAAGAGTATTTGTCGCTTACGTTGTGCATCTAATTGAATCAATGTTGTCAGTGCCTTGGCTCGTATAATATTAGAAGTTAGATTGCATTTATCGGGTGTTGTATAATTGTTCAAAAGTAATGTTGATCTGTCGTGTAAATATGTCGTCAAGATTCGTTCTTTTTCTTCTTGATTGGCGAGGTAAATATCTTGTTGATGCTGTTCTCCTGCAAGATTGATATCATTTTGACAGGTTTCTTGATTGAGTTTTGTTTGTTGTGTTGTCAGAATTGTTGTTGCAATACAAAGCGTCAAGGCAACAAGCAGTGCACCAACTATTGACGAAATATCTTTCAATTACACAGAATAAAACGATTTCATCGATGACGTTGCAACATGATGGTCTCGAGAGTTATCTTAAAACAATTCGATATTTGTGTGTCCTGATGAATGCGTTCCATTTGTCGATTATTCATGGAACGCGTGTTTTCATTGAGTGCAATACTGAAAGAATCCGATACAGTATGAGAGCCATCATTGACAAGTCGCATCTCTTTATGACGCAGTGCTGACCAGAAATTTAGAATTATCATGTTGGATTACTTTCCTTCATAATTATATCCTACGTCATCCCTTATCTGCCTGCCAGTTTTACTTAATCAAAGAACTTGTTTCGCGATTGTTTTTGAAACTTTTTTAATTGAACTATCACTCTGTCTGAGGTGTGACCTATTACTAAATTCTAAAATATCGTGATTAATACAGAACCGATCGCGCTGTCATTCACTATGAAAAAAGAATTTTTATTTTTATTTTTAGAGAGAGTAAAAGCACTTTGAAGAAGCTTAAGAGAAAAGATTCGTACGGAAACCTCCTCTGAAAAGTCACATAAACAAAGACTAGGAAAATTCCAAGTTAGATTCCATAATGCAGTTTTTCACGCTTTTTTGAACTGAACAGATCTAAATCCATAATTGAATTTCCTCTTGGAGAAATCTGCAAAAACTCCAGGAATCTAAAAACTAATGATGTCGATTATTTCATTTATGATCAAAATCTAACCATACGTCAGCTTAGTAGAAACTTAATATTCATTGTGGATAGCACCAGTTCATCTACATTAACATAAAAGACCAAATTCATTTAGGTGTATAATATCTGAAAGAAGAGATAAATCTTCCTAGTAATTCTATACTTTGGACTAGGAGAAATTCTTACCCTTTTTTCTGCTAATATGCTTTTGTAGTAACTATGCTACGCACTGAAACTTGCTCATTATGTTCTAATAGACCTTATATGAGCATACATGATCGAGTAAATCTAGAAGGAAGATAACAGACGACGTAGAAGAAAATAGTGATGGAAAACAATCCAGCATAGTGAATTTATATTTGTCATCTGCACTGTATTGTAACAGATAATATTGTCTGTAAATCTATCGACTGATGAATCACTACGCCAGCACGAGTATATAAAGCTACTCAAAGAGAAGGAAGAGAGAAACAGAACACATAATCATTCAGATACAAGAAAATCATATGAGAACAGAACAATGAGAGACGGCAACAACCAACTATAGGAGGGGGGAGGGGCGGACAACTCATGAAGAAAGTAGCCATGACAGTAGTTTGTGTCATATGTATTATAACCAGTAGCCCATAAATAACTATAGTCCTAGCATTTTGAATACTCTTCTTCTCTGTATTTGATGGACATAGTTTTGCTAACTAAACCATTTCCCTTCTATCTTTCATGCAAAGCTCTTTTATTATCTTATGATGAATTGTAAGTATGAAAAATGCTATGAATGATTGTGCAAAGCACTTCATAGGATTAGATAGTTTTAAAAAACTTCCAGCACAAGATCCACGTGATTTTATTTAAAAAACTATGATGCTGCTTCAATTTTACACATGAGTTGTTCCTATATATAATGTCCCAAAATAACTGATGATAAATCGTCAATGATATTTCATATGTTTTTTCTTGCTCAAAGAGGCTGATATTATTATAATAAAGATATATATATGTATATATCTACAGTATCTTTAATTTTTAAAATTTCAACTTTCTATCTATAATAAGTACAAAGATATCGTAATGATATTCGAAGACATGATTTTTCTAACCTAATTTCTATTGTATTGCCGCTTTTACCTGACCAATACACAACTGCTTCAAAGTGCTTTAAGTATTGGTGGATGCAACTGTGTCTAGGATTCTTTTATCATTTCATAACAAATATTACATTGAATGTTGATATAGAAGCTTCGATTTATGCTGATCATTGAGAGAACTGGCAAACGTACAAAAACAATCTTCATCATATTGGACGATTTGCTTCGAACATTTCATCGATTCACTTCATCTTTATTGACCAGAACAACAACTATTTATACACACTAAATGGAAAAAGAGAATGAGAGAAATGAAATGAAATTGTATTATCCTTGGAGCACTATTGGTGAAAAATGATTCGATTGAATCCACCGATGTGAAGATTATTTTTGTACGTTTGTCAGTTCTCTCAATGATTAGCATAAATCGAAGCTTCTATATCAACATTCAATGTAATATTTGTTATGAAATGATAAAAGAATCATGGACACAGTTGTATCCACCAATACTTAAAGTACTTTGAAGCACTGGTGCAGTGACCAACTAATAAGTGACAATACAATAAAAATTAAGTTAGAAAAATTATGTCTTCGAATATCATTCCTATATCTTTGTATTTATTATAGATAGAGAGCTGATATTTTAAAAATTAAAGATATTGTAGATATATATATATATATATATATATGTTGTTATGAGAATAATATCAGCCTCTTTGAGCAAGAAAAGTATATGAAATATCATTGACAATTTATCATCAGTTATTATGGAGCATCGTTTATGGACGGCGATCAATGACAGGATCAGGTATGCAATATGTCGAAGGGGCTGTCACGATTCGTGACATGGGCCAAAATTCTACATTACAAGAGGAAAGAGTATTTTGAACTTCAAAATTTGAAGTTTATTGAAAAATTTAAAATATATCAGAATAAAATTAAAACCCCATGTCCGAAAATCCAAAAGAGTGTGTCAATATGTCTCTTGCACGCTGATGCTTAGATGGTTTCAGACTGAAAAGAACAATAACACGTTGGTCACAGCTTGTGAGGCAGATAGGAATTCTAATTTTTCGCTCTCTACTTTAACACTTATCAACACTCGTATTTCAGAAAGAGTTTTCAAAGTTTCTTTTGAAAAAGTTCAGGACAGGGAAAAAGTAAAGTAGCCGTCATACTGTTGTTGAAAATTTTAGCTTTATACCACTTATTAAAAAAAGTTTCACCTAGAATTGCTGGAAAAAGAACTTTATTTATGTTTTCATTCCAACATAGGACAATTTGTCTCAGTAACACAAATGTAACTCTGTTAAATGTAAGCGATTCACTTTGATTCTTTGTATCATGAATATAGATGATTATTCGTTGCGGTTTGCTTCTTGAAATGCGGAACAGATTTGGAAAAAGTATTTTTCACTAAATTGGAGAGAATAAGTTTAGACGTTGACTATTTTTTAATGCGATTGCTGAAAAGATCATTGTTGTGTTCGGGGTTTTGTTTCAAGAACTTTTCGCTCTAGACAGTGACAAAGACTATTATAATCTGAAGCTTCACTAAACTAATCTGAAATTGCTTCCTGGCGCTTGTGAGATCATTTTAAAAGCGTTGAACTTTGTTTGAGAAAATACATTAACTTTGTTGACATGCAGGCTGCTTTTTTTTACAGTACCTGATTGTATTACGCACCGTCAGTTATACCATAAAATAGTGAATACAGTTTTTCATTGAGAATTCAACGAGTAATCTATTGATAAAAAAGTAAGCTCTACTGAATGGAAGAACGAACAGAACAATTGAAGATACTCAGACTATAATTATTTATAGACTATTCGTTGTATAGGAATGAAAACTTTACATTTATAGATTGTCATCAACAGCAATAAATCTCTCCTTACCAGAGCATGATTTATTTCATTATAAAAAGCAAACAATCGTATATAACATTCGCTTACACACATATAACACTGTTCCCACCATGCGTAGCGAAAACGAAGGCGGACAAATGTTAAAAAAATATCATATTACTGGAAGTCCCATGAAGAAGTCCTTCACTCTCTACCTTAAGTCGCCCAAAACTTTTCAAGGACTGTGTCAACCGTTCAAGAGAATCATTAGAATGTATGTAATAATATTTTCATGGAACTTTATCCTTGGTTAATCTAGGTAGATCTTTTTTTCCAATGTCCATCTTGACTATAATATGAGCTGCTTTTAATAACTTGGACAGCTACATGAAAACAATTCTTGGTCTATCCCGCTTATGGTTAGTGTACAATCAGTGCAAATCATTGCTACAATCGTTAATGATGGTGGTGGTTTATTCATATTTGTCCATGATATTGGTAGCAATGAGTAGCCAGATTTAACCCAGGAACCGAAACGTTCGATATCTAGATATATATGACTATTTTTTGCGCACAAACAATGAAGAAAATGTCCCTCACTTTGTTCAGCTATAATATCTCTCACACGTATTGATCGAAATATTCCCGTTATTGCATTATGCTCATATCTCAATGGTTCTGTTATTTCGACTGTATTCCATGATGTGATATAAGTACCTGTGTTACATTTTTCTTTCGATTGAGCAAGTAATAAACCTTCTGAGCATTGTTCTGTGTCCTTTAATATGATATCATTTCCGATTTTCCATGATGGAGGAATAGAACCGCACGGTGCGTGACCAACAACAGCTTGCGTTCGTCTTTGTGAAAATAAAGCAGCTAATTTCTGTCGTGTCACTTGATTAATACCAGCTATTCGAGCGTTAGCCACTGCTTTGATTCGATCTGTGATTGCAATTTGTAAATTTGTTCTAAGTTCAGCATTTTGAATCATATCAAACTATGAAATATATTTAAAAATTCTTAATAAAGCAAAATTGGAAATGCGAGTGTTTCTTTTCACTGGTAGAAATCACTGGCATTTGCATCACCACCAATGCGATGATCTAATATTATTTTACGTCGTTCTTTATGATAAGTGTCATTCACTAAAGCAGCTGAAAGGAAATCCTGTTTTAGTGGTAGTTCCAATTCTGAATAAGTGAGACCACAAGTAAAATAATGTGACCGTCAAATACAATCTTTGAGCAATGTCTGTTGTTCATGCATATCACCAAGTTGAGTTTTCACGGCAATATGTGTTCCATATATATCCATGAAATTCTTATAAGCTTTTGCATCACTATCTGTGATACTTTGGTGAGGCTTTGTAAACAAAATTGTTGGTAAATTAATCACCGTCTGGAATGTTTTCAATACATTTTTTATGTAAATATTACGTACGGTCTTTCTGGATTTCAAGCGTGTTTTCATATTGTCTGCAAAGATCTGTGATAGTTTCCATGGTTTTTAGGCAGGGGCGTAGCCAGGGGGTGTGCATAAGGTGCCCGGGCACACCCCTTGGTCAAGAAACATCTGGAGGGAGGTACAGGTGAAAAATATTTCCGCGAAACAAAAATTTATTTTGCTGCTGGTGTGCACTCTCCATAATGAGTCGGGCACCTCCCTTAGAAAATTCCTGGCTACGCCACTGTTTTTAGGACGTCAGTGACGGTTCGAATAGGTTTATAATGCAACATAAGACTTGTTTGAAAAACGAATAAAATGAATAACGAAGGATCAAGAGAAGGGTGTCGACAACAGGTCGAGAGTGATTAATGAGAATGATTCCCCGAGGATCTCTGGTAATAGTTGATGCGAATTTGTTCAAAAATGGTGCAATGAGTTTTGATTCGAAAAAAAAAGAGAAATCCCAATCAACGAGCCTAGACGTGACAAAACACGAGCTAAAGGGAGAAGTGCCATTAGTACTGAACTTTTGAGAATTTCTGATAGATGGAAAATATTTGTGTTGCATTCGATGTGGAACCGACTCCAAGCAGTGTTGAAACGAAGTGTGATCACGATGAAGTTCGTTGAGCGACACATAGTGTACAAGTGATTAGATCTCGTCGATCGCTCGCTTGACATCGGCTTGGCCTTCATTTCACAGATTTTCTGATAAACAAACAGTTTTTATCCTCGCCGTTTTCACACAATTTACAAATTTTTGATGGTCAAAGAGTTTTTTGAGTCACGTGTCAATCCAAAATGAAGATCCACGACTTGTCGCTCTTTTTTTTATTATAGAAAAGCTATCCGATTTCGATCACTAGCTGTTGTCGCTGTCGGGTTATTAGGCTTACATCTACTGTTCTTTATTTCTGATACCAATGTCAGATAAAGAAGTTTTTTAAAAACTACGTAAAAAATGTCTTCATTCATGGCGAAATATAGTGAACAAGTTCCAACAATGTAATTGAAAACTCTTGTGCCGACGTTTTATCTTTAAAACCTAAATTTCATCGATAGTGAAAAATAACGGTGCACATTTACATAAAATGGTATTGTCAATTTTCCTGTGCAAAAACAAGATCATATTCTCATACATTTGTCATTTGTTTATATAAATGTCATAGCGTACTATTTGCATTGAGTATTTCAGTGATCAGCACCTTCTTATTTTTATTTGTAGATAATCTATTATCTTGATATGTCACTTGATCTTCTCAAATTCTTCATAATCAACAACAACTGCTTCAACTTCTTCATTACATAGAATTGATTATAATAATAATCTCTAGCAACGATCGAACGCGTCGTAGGGATGTTTCAATATTCCTTTATAAACTCATAAATGCACTTCAAACCATTTTGTAAATTATATTTTCAGTCAAAAGAAGTCTTCTCAACAAGCCATTCAGGTGAGCAAACGTTTTCTGTTCCACTTCTATAAAGAAACTAACACTAAACATCTCTGTGTACATATAGAGGATGTCTTAGGCAGTGAACAACAAATTCATGAGATCGAGTACGAAATATTTTTATGCTCGAAAAGGTAAACAGCATAATGATATAGTTTCTGTGAAACAAGACATATACAGTCGAGAACAATTGAAATTATACTCTTTGATTCTTTTATTTTTTATTACTATACGGTTTTATCTATTAACTTACTATATATAGGGAGAAAGCCCAGAACGCGCTGCATCTTTTAGTATAATTACGTTGAACATAAAATGCAGTTTAAAGTATAAAAACTGTCTTAGAAGAGAAAGAACATTTCTTTTTATTGCCAAACCCGGGTATCAATAATGTTGTCACAGTTCTCTTATTTCGCATATATCTCGGCCTAGGATAATGAAAAAACCTTGAATTGTTTTTCAAAAGATGCGCCGTGAAAAGCTCTACAAAATCCATATGATTGAATTCCTTTTTACCAGTTCTAATGGTTTTTCTTTTGCTCAAAATGAAAAACTTCCAGGTAGGTATAGTTTCACTTCCCATAATATAGAAAATATTTCGAGAAATTTTCCGATTCGTGATAGGACTTGGTCTATACAAGTTTTGTAGAGCTTTCGACGGCACATCTTTTAAAAACAAATTCAATACTCCATCATTTTCTCAAGACGAGATATATGCAGAACAAAAAAGTCTTCCAACATTTTCAGTATGATGGGAAGTGACATTGCCATGTAAGTTGTTCATTTTGAGTATAAGAAAAACCATTATAACAGGTAAAAAGGAATTCAGTCATATGGCTTTTGTAGAGCTTTTCACGGCGCATCTTTTGAAAACAATTCAAGATTTTATCGTTTACCTAATCCGAGATATATTCGAAATAAAAAGTGTTGCAACATTATGGACACCATGAAATTAAAAAAAAATGTCCTTTTCTTCTAATACACTATTTATACTTTTAACTGCATTTGATTTTCAACGTCAATATACCAAAAGATGCAGCGGGTTCTAGGCTTTCTTCCTATATAGAGTAAGTTAATAGATAAAACCGTATAGTAATAAAAAACAAAAAACAAAACAAAGGGTTCAATTTCAACTGTCCTCGACTGTATATACCGCGAGAAAATTCAATCCATTGACCCTTCCCTAAGATAGAAGCAGGTAGAATAGATAAAACTTTCGAGTGTCGCAACGATTCATATGATTCAGACTCTGGCCAACAACCACAATGCATCTATCATATTTCATATGTTGATGCTACAGAGTTTAGAC